AAAGTAAAGCAATACTAACTACTATTGATGTAGAGCAATTGGCTTATTACAGGAATAAAGACTAAAATAAAAGTAAATTCCTCCTGAGATCACATCCAAAGGAAGACTACAGGTGGATTAAGGACCTCAGTACAATAAAATATCTAGTAGAAAACAATATAAAAATAATCTCAATGTGTAGTGAAAGGACGATGATTTTAGGACCCGAAGAACAAGTATGTGTCACGCACATGCTGGTAATTGCAGTACTTGAGAGGCAGAGGTGAGAAGACCATTAGTTAAGGCAGCCCAAGCTACATAAGAAATTGTCTTAAAATAAACAGAACAAACATCAAAAGTCCAAGACATACTGTAAAAATAATTATTTACATATACACTAAGAATTCCAATTTAATAAGAGTATCAAAGTTAAAGTTCATAAACAAATGACAAGAGTATTTGCATTTCCTAAAATAAAGTTGAATACCAAAATAATTCTCAAGAAATTCTATATAAGAAAATGATAAAAATCTCCAAAGAAAAATTAAGGGATATGTTGTGAAACACAAATTAAACGACAATGACATAATCCAGATTTAAATAATGCAGATATGTGATGACACATATCTTTAAGCAGAAGGATCTCTGAATTCAAGGCTGTCTCAAAAAACCAAACAAGCCAATAATACCAAGTAAAGACTAAGATATAAAGGCTCAAGAAGAAATCTTGGTGTTTTAGTGAGGTAGAGATTATGGAAATGCTCTCATAGTTAAGCCAAACTGGTATGTTAATGACAGAGCAAGTAATACTAGTCCCAGAAATTCTCACACTGTTTTATAAGGAACCCATCCATATAAATGTGTGTATCACAGAACTGATTCTGATGCTTGGAACTGAGGGCAATGTGGGAAGATAGGTCAGATGAAGTAAACACACACAGGAAACTATCAAGTAACAATGTGGATATACCCTAGATGTACATAATGCTTTAAGAACAAAACACAAGCCAGCAAAAAGAATATAAATGAGTCAGTGTTCATCAACATTAGAATGTTTGTGCATCAGAGGGTATTTACCAAAAAAGTACAAGGCCAAGTACAAATCAAGAGACAAATACCTGAAAGTGATACACATGAAAAGGTATAGTACTCAGAGAAAGTAAAGAAATCTTATAAAAAAGAAAAAGTAAGTGAGCTAAAAATAGGCAAAGGATCTGAATAGACATTTCTCCAAAGCACAGGAAAAGATGCTAAATTTAACATTACTAGTCCCCAGTGAAATGCAAAGCCAAAGCACAATGAACTAGCACTTCCCACATATTAGAGTGGCTAGGATGAAAAACCATGCCCACAATCAAAAAATAAGTGCTGTGGAGGTCTGAAAAAATTGGAAGCCTCATATATGGCTGATGAGAGTAAAAGATGGTGAAGGCACTTAGAAATCATTTGGCAACTCCTCAAAAAGTCAAATATAAAAGTACACCATATGACCCAATAGTTCTACATCTGGGTATAAATAGACTCAAGAAAATGAAATCATTCTTGAAAAATGAAACCATGCATTTGCAGGAAAACCTGTCCATTAATGTTCACATCAACATAATTCAAAATAAAAAGGAGAAACAAGTGCCTATCAAATAACTAATTGGTAAATAAAATGATATATATGGAGTATTACATATAATATGTATTACTTATAAAAGGAATGATAAAGCTACAATGAAGTTGAACCTTGAAGATTTGCTAGAGAAAGAACCCAGACAGACAAGGTCATGTACGATGCCACTGAAGTACTGGCAAACAGTAGATGTGCGGCTGCTGAGAAATGGGAAATAATTATGGGGTTTCTTTTGGGAGCTAATAAAATGTGGAATAGTAATGGTTAGACAACCCTGTGGATAAATTAAAAAAAAATACCTCCCCACAACACACCCAAAATGATCTTCCAGAACAGCACTGAACTGAACATGTTGGAATGAGCTTTATAATCTGTGAATTTATCCTACTTAAAAGAAAAACAACTAGATAGCATAAGGAATTTTAGAATCTTTAACTGGATCCAAGAAAACAGAAAACAAACAAAAATCCCTGGGTTCTGAGAACAGGCCCCAGCACAGCAATCTATAGCAAAATATCATGTATCTGTGCAACTGAGAAACTAATGACAAGACAGTTTACTTTAAAAGACATACAAAGGAAAATGAACAAATGAAGCATACGAAAAGGTAAATGAGAATGGAATTTGGAGAAATGGCAGCAAACACAACTAAGTGGAGACAAGGAGAATAAACAACAGAACTAAATGGAGAAAAAGGCCCAAATGATGTCCACATCACTCCAGAATACATTCTTGGTAGCAGTGGTAATTTATGTCCACTCTTAAACAGGACTTGACAAAACATTAGGAATCGTTTTTGGGGAAAAAGTTTTCTATGTAGTGAGCAGAACCTACCAGGCACATTCAATTCCTGTACCAACTTTAAGGCCAAATTAGTGTGGGGGAGGCAACAGAAAGGCTGGACACAGGCACAGGTCATGACTGGAGTTTGACAGTTTTTATATGGCATATGGCACTTGCCTTGTCATTTCTTTGGTAAAGTAGGCCCAGATATTAAACAACACCTTGCAAAGGGAAGATGAAAGGATGAGGAAACACATTGTTCTAGGTGATAACCCTTTCCTAAGCAGGTGACGGGCACCAGGTAAGAGGCTATGAAGCTTAAAGAATGATGTCAATAGCTCTCAAGAGTCATTTCATTGCAAGGTGGCTGGTAAGGTTTACACTGGATTCAATGAGACATTTGGAAGACTTACAGATTCCATGAATGAAAGTCTTAGAACAAAAGGGAGACTTTTTATTATTTCCTGAGTAAAAGGGATTCTGAACATTTCCATAGTTTAAAAATATCTAGAGTACAATAAAATGACAAGCAATCACTGAATTAGTTTTCTCCCATTTTTCAATTTCTTCCTAGTGGTGACCAACATCATCATGTCGGCTACCTTAAGCATCTGTCCAGAAATATTTGGCCCAAAATGTCAAAGGTAAATTTTACTCTTAAAAGAAAAAAGTGATTCACGATAACCTTTTAGAAAAATTTACCAGACTGATATGGTGGTGCCTTTAATCCCAGGACTAGGGAGGCAGAGGCAGGCAGATCTCTGAGTTCAAGACCAGCTTGGTCTACAGAGTGAGTTCCAGGACAGCCAGGGTTGTTACACAGAGGAGCCTTCTTTAAGAACAAAACAAAATTATCAGTGATAACTTGAATAAACAATATACCAGCAGAAAGAAATGGTTGTTCTCCTACCAAAGTATCCCAACAACACTCGAAAGTATGATCTGTGGCCAGTAGCAATAGCACATATAGGACAATGAGAGTAAGCAGTCAGAAAAAAAATGATACCATTTATCATAGATAGAATATTTATGTGGTTTTACTTTGACTGTATTTTATAAAAGTAGCAGCCTGAGATAGACAGGGAACGCTGACGATTATTCCCTGCAGTCTGTTAGTCTTGTACTTGCAGTCCATTCTACTACTCAGTACCGCTGCACACCAGGTATAAAGGTAAAGTGCACACACAACTCTGCAATGCCATCCGTGGCACTGACTTTGCTTTATAATTTGAGTCACAAAATAAATGTTGAGGAGAGAATGCTCATGAATAAATACCCACCATAGTACCTTGGACAGAAAGAAGACTTATATAATACCTTAAAGGTAAAACCATGGGAGAAGTCCAGTAGGAACAAAAAAGAAAGGCACCTGGAGTGGTGGCGAGCCTAAAGTTCTGGAAGGCTGAGGCAGAAGGGCCACTGGAGATAAGGAGACTGAGACCAGACTTGATAACACAGCAAGATGCTATGGGGGTGGGGGTGGATTACAAAACACCTGGAAATTGACTTTAGGATCAAAGAGGAAAGAGAGAACATAAATAAACAAAACTATGGGGAACCCTAGTTGCTATCTCTCTCCTCTTGACAGTACAGTACTGGGGATCCAACCCAGGGTCTGTGCAAGTGTTCCACCATTGGGCCACATTCCTAAGGTATGAGGAAATTTTATGTGGAAGATGGATCTTCATAACTCTTTTATCTTCTCCTCATTATCACTACAGAATCAGGACAAGTGACATGAGCGTTACATCGTGGTTACTTAGTAATTCACAAACAAAGGACACAGACTGGTTAAAATGGTTCCTAATTAGAAATTCCTAATGCCTGAAAGGCAGCTTTTGAGCAAAGCCAGATACTATTCCCGGCTACCAGCATGTGTTCTATGCCCTATGGAGGAGCCATTCCTACCCGCTCCACCAGTCCTGTTCATATAGCAGCTGCCCAGAACCAAGCTCTGCTTCCAAGGAGGGCACACCATGGCACGGACCTGACATATCAACAGCAGCTCCATCTAAACCCTTGCAAGCCAAGACTTAAACATTAAGGAAACAAGATCTGTAAGTTATCAATTTTCACTTCTGGATGCTTCTTCAGTTCACAAATAAATGGCCACCACTCACCAACTAAATGTCTTTTCTTGAGCAGCTGACAACTTTATAATAAACTGTCTTTTGAGATATAAAATGGAAAAGGCGAGAAATGAGACTGCAGGGCATATAAATAGCTCTCTCACACTCTGCCCTGGGGCTGTGCGGAGGCTAGAGGACAGCCCCTGTGGGCTCATGTTTGTATGGGTGGGCCCTAGTTAGTACAACTATTTGGGCAGAACTGGAAGGCAAAGGCTTGCTGGAGTAGGTGTGGCCTTGTTTGAGGTTTTAACACCCCACACCAGGCATGCTCTTGCTATCTCTTTGCCTGCAACTTTTGCATCAGGTGTAAACTCTCAGCTCCGGCTCCAGTGCCGTGACTGCCTGACTGCCGCTGCACCCCAGTACGTTCAGACGCAAGCCCTCAGTTAGTGTCTCCTTTTATAAGTTGCCTTGCTCATGGGGTTTGTTCACAGCAATAGAACAGTAACTGAGACATCAGCTTGGGGGAGGCAGGGTGGCCACTTCCTCACCTTCTTCAGCAATGACTGTCAGTGTGACAGTGACTCCGGCATCTTTGATCAGCTGAACAATATTATCATGAGACAGGTCAACAATGGACTGCCCATTCACCGCAGAGATGTGATCCCCGACTTTCAGTTTTCCACAGCGATCAGCTGGACTTCCCTCTATGACTCGGCCAATTTTATGAGGAATAACTGTGGAAAGAACCCCAAGTTTTCCAGTTATTAAGATACCTGCTAGTGATGGGCTTGTCATCATTATTATTTAAGTATCATTATTCCCTCCAAATCACTCCCCACTGACCACACACAGAGACTTTTTAATGTGGTTGTAACCACAAATCTAAGCTTGTTGATGATTTCCACTTCCTGGAAACCTGTACTAGTTTTTCTTGAAAGCCACTGACTTTACTGACCTAAAAAGCTTTACAATGATTGTGACCTTTGTTGGGGGGGGTTGGGGGGGGGGCATCAACCAGACCAGAGAGGTGAAGGTGCAATGAAAGGAAAGGGACCAGAGTGAGCAGGGAAGAAGGGGACAGGAGAGTACAAGTGTGACAATCCCAGAAGGCTGGCCTGGGGATAGGAGTGGTGCATGATGACTGCTGGGGCAGGGACGGGGAGCTCCTGGTGGAGCACACAGGGCACCCACAGCGCTCTAAGAGCACCTAGAATATCTCTGCTACTACTGGGCATGGTGGTTCCACATGCGTCCTTCAGACATCCCTGTAAAAGATCTTTCATCTTTTTCTTTTTTTAGATTTATTTCTGTGTATAAATGATTTGCCTACATGTACATATATACACCACATGTATGCCTAATACCCTTGGAGTTCAGAAGAGGGTGTCAGAACCCTGGGAACTCACGTTACATATGATTGTGTGGGTGCTGGGAACTGAACTGGGATCCTTTGAAAGAGCAACAAGTGCTCTTAACCACTAAACCATTTTCACAGCGGTAGCAGGAATTCTAATTGTTCTTAATAATAAAATCTCAGAGTCAGTCATCAGGGAGTGACAGCTGAGAGATCAGAGAAGCAGGGCTGCAGCCACTAGAGCTCTTACCTCTACCAATGCTCAGAACAAAGAAGCAATCCTGTCCTCAGCCTGACATCTTCAGACTACTGCCTCAGACTGCACTGAGTTCCTACCTCATCCTGCTTTAGATTAATCTCTCTGCCCAGCAATATCACTCCTGTCTCTATCTCCCTAGTGCTGGGATTAAAGGCATGTGATCCCAAGTGCTGATGATCTCCAGACCATGAGAGACCCTATCTGAAAGGATGTGAACTGTGTTCCTGAGGATGACACCTCAGGTTGTCTTCATGCACACATGTATATATGTATATGCATCCTCCCCATGCATATACATACACAGTGGCATAAAATTTGTCTTGAGATCTTTTTAAAATTCAAATGTTACATGAGAATAGAAGGCTGAATATTTATTTATTGTTGAGACTATCTGGCTCTCTTCATTGCACAAAACTGTGACGACCACACAGACAGACAGGGCGGGGGTGCAATACAACTTAAGACAAGTTCCCATGCACTCAGGGCATCTTGTCAAAAACAGGTATCATCCAATGTGCAATAAGTGGCATTTGTACCAGGAAACAATTCTATATTTTCTGAGAGTTTCCTAGCCTAGGTCAATAAAACTACCAGGCACTTGGGCTCTTCATGAATACTGACTGATAGGAACAGTAATAGTATTTTTAATTTCTTGAGAAAAACACTCCTTACTAGTATAGCTGCTAGTTTCCTATAGATATAGACTTTCATTTCGACTGGGAAAGTTATTCTTGGTCATGATTTATGTCCTTGACAATACCAGAATTATACAGTAGTAGATGTTATCTATAAATGGGGACAATTACTGTTGAACACAAGTGATGAATGAAATCAAGCACTTAGGAGTCCATTCTCCTTACAAATGGAATTATAGTGGCATGTTATTTGTGTCTTAATAAGTAAACCCTGCCTGAAGATCAGAGGACAAAGCAGTCATACTAGTCAGCCATACAGGCCAGTGAGTGGGTGAGTGGTGGCACACACCTTTAATCCCAGGATTTGGGAGACAGAGGCGGGGCGGGGGGGGCGGGGCTTGTGAGTTCAAGGCCATCCTGAGACACGTAAAATTGAATCTGTCTAAAAGAGAAACAGAGCTCATACAAAGTTGATCCCAGCACTAGGGAGGTGGAGACAGCAATGCTATGGCTGGGCAGAGAGAGGAGCATAAGGAGGGAGGAAACAGGAACTCAGTGGAGTGTGGAGTCTGAAGATTTGTGGAGACAGAATCTTCCAACACCTTCGGTCTGAAAATTTGGTAGAGGTCTCTCTAGTGGTTGGCTGCTTTGCTTTTCTGATCTTTATGTTGAACCCCAATATATGTCTCTGGGTTTTTATTATTCATGTTACATAGAATAATTAGAAAAAAAATGTCAATGTTATATGGGCCACATTCTCCACCAGGCATTCTGGGTTGGTACAGTATAACAGGTGGCACATCAGAAACGTGGTAAATCATAGGGAGGCCCTGTTGTGATCTCCTAAATCAAAGATTTACTCACAAATAGAGTTCATTCTAAATCCTGAGAAGAAATCACTCAGGTCCTTGGCACACTGGAAGGTTTGTTCAGACTTGGGAAGGTATCAAACAGAATTAATCTGTGAAATCTCAGTGGTTCCCTTTCTTGTACCACAAACAATAAAAACTCAGAGACAGAAATTGAAGTTCAACCTGAAAACCAGAAAAGCAAAGCAGCCAAGCCACTAGAGAAGTCTTACCTCCCCAAGGCTGGGCGACCACAGACTAAGCAGCCTGCGCCTCCCTCTCTTCCCACTTTTATTCCCTCTAGTGTTGGGACTACAGGTGTGTGTGACTCCCTAGGGCTGGGATTAAAGGTGTAAGCCACCACCACCTGGATTTGTTTCTGCAGTGATCTTGAGTAGTTCAGGATGGCCTTGAACTCACAGAGATTCTTCCGCCTCTGTCTCCCAAATCCTGGGATTAAAGATGTGTGTCACCTGACCTCTAGTGGCTTTAGCTTTCTTTGCCTCTAGTCTTCAGGCAAGATTTATTTAACAAAATACAAGTAATGTACCAGTCCACCTCCTTACAGTGTGAGCTGAGCATGACACTACAAATGGTGGTATGCACCTCCACATGGAGCTTGTCTGGGTGAAGGAGGGTGGAAGTGGCCAGATTCTTACAGTCTGGCCACTTAGAGTGGAGTCACCAAAGCAACTAGAACCATCCGGCCAACTGGAAGGCCACACCTGAACATTCTGAGTGGACTGGGAAAACTGTCGTGGTGTTTTCCTCAGAGTGCTCAAAGCTTCAAGTCTTGTCTCGTTTTGTTGGTATACAGTCTATGGACATCCGCCATAAAGCCTCCTTTTCCGTATCAATCTACACTCATCTCTGGCCTCAATCTGTCTCACAGTTTAGCATGTCTAGTTATTTAGGTCAGGCTAGTACTCTTAAACATTTATTTTCAGAAAAAAAAAGACTGCACCTGGATTTGTTCTTTTCTCAGACCTTTGTAAGCAGAACTGAAGAGCATGGAGAACACGACAGGAGTGACAGTAATGCCCCTGTAGTGCTGGAAAGGAAAAGGAGTGAGCGCTTCTCTGCAGCTAAAATGGGGCCTTTTCTAAGCATTGCCCATTCAGCACTGAGGCTTACTGAAGATGGGTGCTGACCAGGACCTCCTGAACTCAGACGACGTCAACAGTAGGGAATCTTACAGTTTCAAAACTGACATCAGATATGTTACTAGGAACTCCTTTTTGAGACACGTGCCACTAGAAGACACATTTACCTAGAAGAAAATAATGATCTATGTCAAACAGTGCTCTGGGACAGGTCCATATAAAGGACCTGTACAGCTGGGTTTTCTGCCTTTCCACGGTACATACCCCTTAGAAAGTGCACTCTGCAATGGGCCTCTGTGAGTGAGAGAGGAGTCTTCTCTCGGAATGGACAAATGGCATTCTAGGAGGAACGCTCCAGGGTCCAGCACTTGTGAGATTATTATCTAGCAGTTAAGTAAAATCACTAATTTTAATTTTGTATCTTGACTAAAAACCTTCACTATTATGAAAAACACACCAACCACCTGGGCCTAATTTACGTTCACACTGATGAGCTGCAAACACTCATTTCCTGCCACATGTTAGTTTTGCCTTAATCTTACATTTGAATTGGGTTTTCATATTTTATTATTAAGTATGAACAAAACTGTAAAGGTTCTCTAACAGAGAAGGTTGCTGGGTATCCAGCGACTCTGAGGCTGAGCCAGGAAGACCACTTAAGCCCACAAGTTCAGTAAATAGCCTAGACAATATTATAAGACACTGTCTCAGATACCCAGCGTTTTAGGTAGGATGATAATAACAACAGCAGTAGGAACCACAATGACCCACAGCAACCACTGTGGGCCCTGGGTCTACATGCTTTTTTTTTTTTTTTTTTGAGACAAGGTTTCTCTGGCTATCCTGAAATTTACTCAGATTTGCCTGACTCAAGAGCTGGGATTAAAGGCATGCAGCACCACCACTAAAAAACATACTTATCTCTTGCAATTTTCAAACCCAATGATAAATGACACAACTATGTTAGCACCAGCCTCAGTTTACAGAGGAAGCACAGCTCTTGTTGGGTGAGTAGCCTGCCCCAAGATTAAGTCCTCTGCTATTAAAGACAGAATAGGTTTGAATCCAAGTTTGTCTGATTATGAAGCCTAAAAAATTCAATGATATCATCTTATTCAGAGACCAAATATATATAATACACAAAAGCATCAAAATAGTAAAGTGTTTAAATGAATATAAAAGCAAAATATAAATATAAACTGCCAGGGGCCATGAGAGTCAACAGCAGGTAACAACCCGTGCTCAGATGTCAGCCCACCAGAGGAGTGGTTATGTGACGGAGGTCCATCCTGTCCAGACAAGGTCTGCAGGACCCCTGACTCTGGAACTACTGCTCACTGTTGCTAAAGCAGTTTGGTGTCCATACTGTGTAATCTCATGTGATGTGTATATGTGATCTCAAGATTATATCTCAATCTTAGGGGCACTTATAATCTGTGGAAGATGACTTTCTATTTGGCTGTGTAATTTTGATATATAAAATATATATTACGACATGCTTTATAAGTAGATCTATTTGTCCTATGAGGACTGTAGAACTGTAGAAAATAAAAGTCTGCTTTTTTTTTTCTCAGACTGATATCAAAAAATAACAACTTCTCTTCAGTGTAACACACACTGCACGGCTGTTTGTAAGTAGATCGTAAGTGTAAACCTTAGAGCTGTGCACAAGGGCAGAGCCACAGATGACTGACCAAAGCTACTACACAAAGCACCCTAAGAAACACATGCCAGTTCTTTACTTGCTAGTATGTTACCAACAGACCTGTGTCTCAAAGTCTGTCACTGGGCACTGTGCCCCCAACCCCCAGTCTGGGGGTTTTACTCCTGAAACCTTGAAACCCATGTGTTACCATCGCAATGGCTCAACTCCTAATCCTTATCCTAGGAATGTGATTTTGACCAATGAAAGATAACTTTTGGGGGCTGGAGAGATGGCTCAGTGGTTAGGAGCATTGCCTGCTCTTCCAAAGGTCCTGAGTTCAATTCCCAGCAACCACATGGTGGCTCACAACCATCTGTAATGAGGTCTGGTGCCTTCTTCTGGCCTGCAGACATATACACAGACAGAATATTGTATACATAATAAATAAATAAATAAATATTAAAAAAAGAAAGAAAGATAACTTTTGTATTTTCTTCATTGCTTCAAGGCTCCTGGGAAAAAGAAAGTTTCTAGGCTAGGGGAAGAAGAAGCTAAGAGGAGTCAGAAGTAGGACAGGGGAATTGGAGTAGAGTAGAATAGAACAATAAAGAGACTGATTTGGAAGAGCACGCGTGAGTTTTTCATTCGCTCTCAGATAGCCAGACAAAGAAGCCCTTTTTGCTTGTTGTAGTGTCTGATTCTGAACCCTGAAGAATGTCTTGGGTCTGGACATTCATGTCTTGTTAATAAACACATAAATCTGGAAATGTTTAAACACGTAAGTAACAACTTCTTACTGAATCTACCTTTATTATTGCTTTGTTTTACAGTGAACACTAGATTCTCATTATTTTTTGCAGTGATAGGAAGAGAGCATCTTTAATATAAAAGTGGTCAGCACTATCACAAATTATAAAAATCTTTTACTATTTTTATTAACTTGAATGTCAGTGATTAGATAAAACGATTAATATGATTATCTTTAATAGTTACTCATTTCTAAAAGTCTGATTTCCAATAAGCCAACACCAAAACATCTCTTCCTTCATATTTCTGACACAGACTATATAATCATCTTCACAGCATCAGTGGCAGTTCTAGTTCCAAGTGTTACCATAGCAACTGCTTTTGGAAAATGGAACTAGTGTCAGCGAGCAGTGAGCTGACTCAGGTCATAGCAGCTTCTCCCTTCACATGCATGTATTCGTTGTAGCAAGATTTTTGCAAATTGGTTTCCTGAAAATGTTTTAATTTTTTTTAAATTAAGGTATTAGTCACTATTAAGTTTAATAAGATCTTTTATTCAATATATACCCAAGATATAATCAAATCTAGTAGCAAATGATGGGATATTCTGATGTGGTCTATAATTTTTATTGTTCTGACTTAGAAAAAATAATTATTTGATAATCATAATACTGAAATATCAGTGCTGGTTCTCATGTGATATTCACTTGGATTTCATAATCATAGTTAGGATCCCTATTTTTTAGAAACATAAAGATCTAACGTGCTGGCTCATAGCAGCCTGATGCTCACTGCTGTGCTTCCTTGCCTCCCTTATGTGCACATTCATCCACCTCACATGGGAAGCTCTTAACACTGGCTCAGAATATTAATTTTAAAAGTTCTAACAATATCTTACCTTTCAATGAAATATGCATGAAAGGCAGAAATGCTTCTTTTCATTCAACAAGAAGGCTTTACAGTTGGAACCCAATTATTATGAAGCAACATAAAATAACTAAGGCATAATTGGGTCAAGATTTTCTATTTCTCAGTTTTACTCTTTTCCTCAACTGTTCCTAGATTTTAATTCATTTCTACTTTTACCACTTCTAATTTGGAAAATCTATTCCCTCAAAACTTAAAAATTATTACTTAAAAAAATGTAAGTCGTAACTTCTCTAAAGTCATAAAACTGGGTCCCTGGCAATTTCCGTATTTTCTTAGTGTAGCCTTGGTGAAAACCAAGACTTATTTTATGGCATTTGAGATGCCTGAGAAATATGAAGGCTCGAAGGTTTGGTTTAGATTACCTAATTTTGAAATTAAAGATTCATTCTCTCTCTCTCTCTCTCTCTCTCTTTCTCTCTCTCTCTCTCTCTCTCACACACACACACACACACACACACAAATATTAAAAATTTACTACCTTAAAAAGATATATCCCAAAGAAAATTTATACACAGGTCTTAATTCATTTCATAAAGTCAGGGAAACTGAATGTTCAGGGAGAGGGTACAGTTGCCCTTACCTCCTGGAGGTGGCTTGCTTTTAGAGGTGAGGATGACAAAACCAAACCCTTCGTTTTCTTTTCTCTGTAAGATAACATCATAGGCCTCCTGGGCAGGCCTGGCTGGGAGCTCAGCCCGATTCAGGTGGGGGGATCCATTCTGTGTGAAGGCTTGAGGGCTGTCATCCTCAGATTGCTTGTCTATAATAAACATCACCGGTTTTAATATATGGAAAATAGTTTCTGCTAGATAAGTATTTTAGTGCTGATAAGTATTGAGTGAAATGAGAAAATTTCATTTCTACTACTACAAAGAACAGAAATGTAGCATGTTGCCTCTCTTCCCTGGGAATCTTGGGCATAATCAAAGTACAGGTGTAGGCAGGGGAAATATCTGACTTCCTAAATACTTAAAACATACAACAGATAAAATATATATGACCTAATGTTATTTCACTTTTGAGAAAGTTCCTCAAAACATCCATGTGATTAGATAGTTAAAAAGATTTGTTGGGCCAGCCAGTTAGCTCAGTGGGTAAAGGTACTTGTCATCAACATAATACAATAAGTTAATAAAGTAAAAATAAAAAGTTTTTAAAAAATCAGAATTATTGGAATTGCTTTAGTTCTGTGAAGATTATAAAGTTTTAACAAAAGTTGATGATAGAAGAGACACAGTAAACTTCCTTTTAAAATGAACTGTAATATAATTTAGTCAGTGATTGATGTTTCACAGATGTCTGTGGAGATGAAAGCTTCAAGAATGCTGCCCCAAACTGTCTGCTATCTGTACAGGATGTATCTTATATAGGCGTTTTATAATTCAAGTTTCCTGATTGATGAGACCAGCTGAGTTCATCACGCTACCCTATATATAACAAGCTTGCCTGTGAACGCCAGACTCTCCTGGGTATGCAGTCATATGAAATCCCCTAGCAAGGGCAGCTATCCCCGTGTCCTTTCGCTGCTATTCAAGGATATACAAGAACTAGAGAGTGAAATGGAAGTTTTAATTGATTTGGAAAAAAACAAACAGAAGGAAAGATTTATTTGTGTGCTAATTTGGTCAGTCATCACTAAGAATGTATTCTATTTGTTTAAGACATATTTATAAAGCCTCTTTAGCTTTAAATTTGCTTGGTGTTAAGAATGTTTTAGCTGTTGAGTTGGTAAAGTGCCTGGGCCATACTGGGGAAGCAGAGACAGGCAAATCCTTGGGTTTGCCTGCCTAGTTTATACAGAAAATTCCAGGCCAATGAAGATGAAGTACCCTGTCTCAAAAAGAAAAAAAAAAAAAGATGCTTTAGGAATAATCGCCAAGGTTGTACTCTGTGCACATGCCTCCCCTCCTCCTACATGAGCACATAAACACATTTAAAGAGTATATTTTAGAATCTCAGCATAAAATACCAACACCCCATCATTACTGAGAAAGCAGAGATGGGGTTCTTTTCCCATTGGAATTCTTTAGTTAAGTCTCTAATAATACAAAATTACTATAAAACACCATGGCTTTCCCTGTGATACCTCTCAAGTTTTCACTAAATACAGGCATGCTCTGATCCTAGCACAATGTGGAGCAACACTGCATGGAACTCTGTATGACTCTCCAGTGTGATGCTATTTACAAAGAGAATCAGTCCTTTAGCGCTGCAGTCTGGCTCAGGCCAGCACTAGGTTCAACCCCCAGCACAAAAAAAGATCAGGTGATACTAGTAATTTAATAAGTTAGTTAACATTGACCAATACCTACTTTTACACTACTCCTAGGTAGTAAATGGACTAAAATCCATCTCTTTATTAGACTTAATTTCTTGTGCTACTGAACTGTTCTTTTGGGGAAGAATGTCTTATCCAGCTGGACATTGTGGCAGAGACAGGCAGATCTCTGTGTAGGCTAGCTAGCCTGGTTTATCTGTGTAGGCTAGTCTGGTTTATATAGTGAGTTCCAGGCCAGCTAGGGCAAATCTGCTCTCAAAAAAAATTATATTCAATACTCACAAAGGTATTGATAAGAGACTAGAAGAGCCGTTCAAATTCTATTGTCATGGTTTAGACTCTGGGCTCTGCAATTAATTCTAGGCCCATTATTTACTATCTGTGAACCTCTTTGTGGGTGACTGTACATGACTAATTACATCATAGAGTCAGGGGGTCCAAATAAACTAATTTTGATACATCTGATACAAAGTGAGCACCAATAGGTATTAAATTATATTACACTAAAACTTTCTTTTTTCACTGCATGTATGCATGTGCATGCACGTACTTGTACAAATGGAGGCTGGAGGACAACTTTGAATGCCAGGGTCTCTTACTGGCCTGGAGCTCACCAATTAGGCCACACTGGCTCACCAGTAGGCCCAGGGGATCTTCCTGCCTCTGCCTCCCCAGCAATGTGATCACAAATCATACTGCCATACTTGCCTTTTTACAGAGCTGCTATTTTAAGTACATGCCAACTTGCCTGGCTTTTTATGGGGCTATGGGGATCAAATAAACTCAGGTCTTCATGCTTGTAAGGGCAAGAACTTTATTGAGTTTTCTTTCCTGGCCCTAGACCAAAACTTTATAATGAGAAGCATTCCAATTTCCTGTGACTATCTGGGACTTCACCATGATCAAGCCTTTTGATATATTTAGGTAGGGGCTATTTGGGTATGCTGAAATAGCAATATATATTTATAAAAATAACCTTTAAACTGATATTTCCATTATCGGTAGTCTATTGGTAAAATCAGCTACTATGATAATATATCTTAATGTAGTAACTCAAAACTTATTTCTTTGTAAAACTATTTCTGGATCCTTAGTACTACTACAAAGCTTTCTGCTGGGTCCTGATACCAAAGAGGTCAGCATATACACTGCTGAATACTGTAAAACACCCTAAAAAACAGAGCAAGTGGATCCTTAACTTTTCAGTTTTGAAAGAATTTTACACACCTCCATAGAAGATTTTTCTTCTGACAGTTAGTAATACATGGCCATTTCGAGCAGCAGTGGTCATTAAATCCAAGACTTGCTTGTGTGATTTTCCTTTAACAGGAATCCCATCAATGCACATCAGTTCATCAGCAGCACGAAGCCGACCATCCTTTTCAGCTGCTCCCAGGGGAATAATGGCCCCAATATATATCTGTAAGATAGCAAAGCATAGGTTAGTCTATGCAATTCAGTAAGATCGGTTGAAGAGTTTAAGACTTCATCTATGAAAAGTCATATTTCAGAAAATTAGTATTTTAGAAATTATATATCCTCCAAAGTGGTACTTCAAATACTCACACTGTAAGATACATTCTAGATTCTCATGGTTGAGCACAAGGAAGAAAATACAAAGTTGCTTAAGAACTTAAAAAGCATCTCCAATTTCTCCACCACTACAATGTAACAAAATGCTAAAAGTAATCTAAAAAAAAAAGCCAAATAGAAAGACATTCTACAATTGTACACAGCAACTAGGGTCATTCTTATGATTCTCCGCCATATACAGTGGCCAACAATACAATACAAGTTCAGGGTATATAGCCAAGAAATAGTTGTTCCTAAAATGCCAGAGGGAGCAGGGAGGATGAGGGTCATTTGTATCTTGTAGAAAGACCCAGTTCATTTTGCTCTCCAGGAGTTAGAATCCTAAAATTTTATGATAGTTTTAGAACTACTAAAATTTGACATTTAGAAAAGAATAGTTGCTCTCAAGTTATTGAGAATAAATCCTTTAATGTTTTAAGTGAACATTGTGACTATCAACAAAACAGAAGGCAATGAAAAACACATATGCTATCAAACCACAGAATCTGACATTTGCTCTGTGCACAATGGGCTATAAGCTTCATGTATCCAAATGAACACTGTCACTGTAAGCTATACGAATAATTATAACATTTATATGCTATAAATATGATGTTTTACTCAAAAAATAGAAGCCTTTCATACTTAAAGGACTAAATTTCTAAGAGCAATAATGCAGAACTTTTATATCATATATAACGAATGTAAATGTGCTCTTAAACTCTAGATTGTATTACTGCTGTCTTTCAACACTAAGGCAAAATGTAAAACCAAAGCCTACTATGTTTTCTAAATTAACCCACATAAACAAAATTCTGGACTTTAAATGCTTTATAAATATGATCATTATTTCTTCTAGAAAGTCTCTAACGGTAGAGCTAAGGACAAAACAACAGGCAAAGTATTGAGCCTGGTGCGAGCTTTCTATTGAGTATTCTGAAGCCCAGTTACTGTGGTAAAGTAGACACTAGATTACATACAGGGTTCTGAAAGAAGGAAAATGCCTTAGATTCTGTCTAATAAAGGCAGAGGTGAATAATTAGTTCAAATAAGCTTTATCTCTGGCATGAGGAATCAAACTCAAGCCCTCATGCCTGGTAGTCACATGCACAGCTACCACTGAGTTACAATTCTAGTTCTTAATAAGCTTTGTGTATTTACAAAGAACAGAAGTAAATTAATTGATGTTATGTTTAGAGCTAAATACTCAGTTTTTAATGTGGTTTTAAACATAAGCCATACCATGTTAACCTAACAGACCACGATAGACATAAAATGTAGTGTTCATAATAATAAAATCATTAGAGGAAAAAAAACGAGCAAACTTAAGGGAGAAAAGGAAACAAAATAAAAAATACCACTGATGAGCAATGCTCCCCACAGGCACAGCTCCCTGAATATGTGGTCCTCAGTGAGGGGATTCTTCAGGAAAGTTATGGAACCTTTGGAGCTTTGCAAGAGGAAGTGTATCACTGGGAGCAGGTTTTGAGAATTTATAACCATTCCCTATTTCCAGTTTGTTCTCTGTTTCCTGCATGTAGATGGAAATGTGATCTCTCAGCTTCCAGCTCTGGCCACCTGGTCCAGGCTTTACTGCCATTATAGACTATTCCTTGGGAATGATATGCAAAGTAAATTCTCCCTTCTCAGTTGCTTTGATCATGATACTTTACCCCAGTAACAAAAGTAACTACTACAACTTATATTCTACCAAATCCCCACTCTAGTATTAACTAGAGCAGCAAGCTGGGTGTGCTGGTCATACCTTTAATCCCCAAAGGGAGGCAACTGCAGGCTGATCTCTGAGGCCAGTTTGGTCTGCACAGGGAGTTCTAATCAGACAGGCTACATAGTGTGACACTGTCTCAAAAACCCCAAACACACAATGAAAACCAAAAAAAAAAAAAAAAAACCTAGGGGTGCCAATGTCCCAAAGTTTATACTTACAGACTGGTCAGGTCCATCTCCTCCCAGCACCCTGAAGCCAAACCCTGATTCTTGTTTCCGAAGAAAAACATCCAGATCTTTGGTGTTTGGTGCTAAGGAAAGTAAGAATATGTAACTATAATTTATTTTAACTGTATTAAAATAAAATAAAGCCCAATACTTAGTAGAAAAATACTAAAGAGCAGTCAAAAACTATAATCTCAGAACTATCAGATATATGAAAATTTATGTGAGAATTTAAGGAAATTAAAATGCTAATCAAAACTGGATCAAGATCAATTAGGTTAACATTCACAGTCCTATCCTTTCAGTATTTCATTGATACTAACTTCTAACATTGTCCAGCCAATATTACAATATTAAGTTCAGAATGACCCAATTGATAGTGCAAATAAGAAGTTAACATTTGAGCAAGGTTCTTTAAATCCTTGGAGAAGAGAGCCCCAAATACCTTATTTCTACTCTTAAGGGAATAGTTTTGCCTAAGGAAAATATTTCCTTAGGGAACTATTTATTTAGCCTAAATGTATAAAATGTCAATATTCTTAAAGAAGAAGAGAAATAGGCATGTAATACCTCTTAGCAATCCCGTTTTTTAGATGGGTAAACTAAGGGCCTGAATAACTCACCTGATGTCTTCCAGTGGCTGGCAGAGCTAAGATTTAAGCCCAACTTGACTCCCCAGGTGCCAGGCTTACCCCCACAATCTTGTAGCATTAATGAGAATATGAAATCAGAAAAATACATTTCATGCCTAAGACTCTGTCTCTGGGAAAATATTAGCTTTATTTATAAGACACATTTATTAAAAAGAAAAAATACAGAAACTGCCAGGAAACTAAAAAGTAAGGGAAATATGGTGTAGGGTAATTTCCTGGCAATTCTTTGGAAGCAATGTCTTTTGACAAATACTTCCCACTAGAGTCATGGAACTTCAGGGTAGAGGTGGGTGGCTAAATGTGGAACATGTGCTCAGTGGGAGTGAGGCGCAAGGTCCTTGGTCCAACTGCCAGCAGCAACAACAGCACAATACTAAAAGCCCCTACCAAATAAAGCATTGGAGTTGGGCTGGCAGGATGGCTTAGCAGGTCACTTGCTGTGAAGCATGGAGAAGGAGCAGAAGAAGTGGAAATAGTACCAACTCCACAAATTTGTCCTCTGACCTCCACATCCACATGTGTCTGTGGCGTGTATGTATCTGTACACATATCACACACACATACACACAAAGGCCCAATGACTATAAGGGATTTCTACCTATGTTAAGAATGTATCGGACTACAAATAGACAGCCTGATGGAAGGGGCACTACACGTTGCTGTATTAATTTAAATTATTGCTTTGTTATGCTTATACATGGTCTGATTCTGACCTTTCTGAATATGGCCAACAGCTATCAAGAAAAAGATGTTCAACTAGTTATATAAGCATGAAGCCAGTTATATACCTTTCCATTTATGTATTCCTTTTACAATGCAGATACAGTTCTATTTTTTTATTTTTTATTCAAAAAATTTACTTTTTATTTTACATGCCAACCCCAGCTCCCCCTCCCTCCATTACTGCCGCACTCCCCCCCCACCAACATCCCCTCCTTCCCACCTTCCATCCACTCCTCAGAGGGAGTAAGGCCTTCATAGGGGAGTCAACAAGGTCTGGGATATCAACTTGAGGCAGGACCAATTCCTGTCCCCCAGTATCAAGGCTGAGCAAGGTATCCCACCATGGTGAACGGGCTCCAGAGTCAGCTCAGGACCGGGGATAGAACCGGCGCGATTGCCAGAGCTGCCCCCAAAAGGATCAAGTCACACAAAGATCTATTTCTTAAAAACAAACTAAGTTTTCAAAATTCAAACCTAAATAAAACTGAAATTTTACATCAGAAAAAAATTTATCATTAGTAATTAAATTAGTGTAAAAGGCTACTTTTGTTGTGTTTTCTTTTTGTTTCTTGGGACAGGGTTTCCCTGTGTAGCCCTGGCTGTCCTGGAACTCACTCTGTAAATCAGGATGGCCCCAACCTCACAGAAACCCGCCTGCCTCTGCCCCAGAGTGCTGGGGTTAAAGGTGTGTGCCACCACCACGTGTAGACACCTTTTCTTTTTGTCTGTTTGTTTGTTTGTTTTGAGACAAAGTTTCTCTGAATAACATCCCTGGCTGTTCTGAAACTAGCTCTATAATCTGGGCTGGCCTCTACCTCCTGAGGACTGGGATTAAAGGCATATGCCACCACTGCCCGGCTCCCTGGTGATGCTTTTAAATTGTATGTTTTCTTTTCTCCTCTCACTTGACTCCTTAAACAAGTTCATGTGGTTTCCTCTTTGTACTTCATACCCGTCTACTCTGATCGACCTCCATTCTCTAGCTAGAACGATATTTCTAACATACAAATCCAGCACCATTTTCCCCACAACTAAACATATATTCTGTGGTTCTCTTTTACACACCCAGTTCAGCTTCCTCATCTGCTGTCCACAATCTGTGTTCCTCTCTTCCTCTGGCTTCTTTGCCAATCACATCCACACTGCATTTCCCACAAGCTAAGGAAGACAACATACAAGTGTTCCTCTGTTTGTCTTAACATCTCCTCATCCTTGACGGCTTAAGCTTGCTTCTCTTCTGAAGCTTTATTGGTATTTCCTACTCTTCATGCTGATGAATTGAGTATTTCCTCCTCTGCATCCCAGCTTCTCCAGCTTATCTTTCTGTCATCGCACTGTGAGGTGATGTGCACTGACTCTGACCCCTTAACCTCTGGTTATATCGCACTGTGAGGTGATGTGCACTGACTCTGACCCCTTAACCTCTGGTTATATCCAGCACACGGCCGCTGTGTTGCTATACTTGCACTGTACGTACTCATTTCATCATGTATTTGTCAGCTCCATTTAAATTAACAGTATTTCTGGGTGCAGGTTCCTATTTTTCTCTGTACTGCAATTTGTTTAACATGGTATCTAGTGGACAGCTTGTACTTAATTCATAGTATTTTTTTTTTTAAAGAGTACAGATTGTTTGTGGAAAGAAAGCTCAGGATGACATAAATGGGAATGAAGGAACAGTTAGTTTCTCAGTGTGCTTGTGAAGAATAGCAGAGCACCATTTTGAAACAATCGCAACTGATCCTGTTGCTGCTTCCTTGAAATATCCCCAGTTACTTACGTTTATCTTCATATAAAGTCTTAGATTTCAGGTAGACCTCAGAAGGATCCAACTTCGGGGATCCTGACCTGATAATGCTGGGCGGAAAAGGCATAGGCTGGGGAATAGGTTCATTTATGGCCTCCAAACTTCCTGAATTTTCCTTTGTATCAGTTTTCTAAAATGAAAAAAAAAGGGCCTTACTTAGAATTTTAAAAATAAGATGGTTGGTTATTTCATAAAACTGTGTTGTAAACCTGGACATTTTGTACAGGTGGCAAAAGTCCCAGAAGACTGGTTGTGTATCCATGAGTTCACTTATACAGCATTCTGTCTGGTTAAAACAAACTTAACTTATATAAGAGTTATTTATCTCACTCTTTAGCCCTAGCGGCCTGGAATATACTATGTGCTCTTGCTCGCTGACTATGAATTGTTGCATGCTCCCTGCCTCTGCCTCCCAGGTCCTGGACTACAAAAACATAGTCTTGAAAGACCTCCACAGGAGCAGGAACAAGGGAGCAACTGCTGAGGGATCAAGCCTGAGCCAAAGACCTCTGTGGGACTGGGCATGAGTCAGAGACCTCCGAGGGAGCAAGCCTGAGTCAAGAGATCTCTGCAGGACCAGGCCCAAGTCAGGGACCTCCATGGGAGCAGGTGCAAGCCAGGGACATCTGTAGGAACAGGACTGAGTTAGCAAATTCCACCAAAGCAGGTCTGAGCCAGTAACTTCCTCTAGAGCAGGCCCAAGGCAGCCACCTCCACAGGAGTAGGTACAAGGAAGTGACCGATGAGGGAGCAGGCCCAAGCCAGGGACCACTGAGGGACCTCCAAGGGAGTAGGCCCAAGCCAGGAACATCTGCGGGAAGAGGCCTGAGCCGGCAACCTCCACAAGAACAGGTCTGAGTCAGCAACCTTTGTGGGAACAGGTACAAGGGACTGAGCACTTAGGGAGCAGACCTAAACCATAGACCTCTGCCAGACTGGAACAAGTTAGGGACCTCCTAAGGAGCAGGTCCCACTCAGTGACCATCCACTGGAGCAGGTCCAAGCCAGCAACACCAACTGGAGCAGGCCTGAGCCAGCAACCTCTACTGGAGCATCCCCAAGCAAGCAACCTCCATATTAGCAGGCCCAAATGACCTCGGGGATTGCAGAGCTACCCCAGGAAGCATCAAGTAGCCTCCAGGAACACTGAGTAACCTCTGGGGTGACTGGAATCATGACCCTGACTACTCCACGAGCAACAACCATTTGAGCCATGGATCGACTGGCACCTGGAAGATTTATCACTAGAGACACAGCCCCCACTACACTTCTACATCAGAAGAAAAGATGGATAAACAAGATAAGAACACATGCAACACTACAAAGAGCAATTTGACACCAACAAAAACTAGTGGCCCTCCAACAGCAAGATACAGATGAAGCAGAAGAAAACGACCAAAAATAACTTTAGGAGGATGTTTGAGGCCCTTAAAGAGGAAATCAAAAATTCACTCAAAGAAATGGAGAAAAGACAAACAAAAAAAAGAAATCAACAAATCCCTTAAAAAAAAACAAACAAGAAAAAGCAATAAAACAGATGAAAAAAATGATTCAAGACTTGAAGACTGGAATAGAGACAATAAAGTAAACACAAGCCAAGGAAATTCTGGAAATGGAAATTATGAGAAAATGATCAGAAACCACAAATGCAAGCATAAACAGCAGAATGCAAGAGATGGAAGAGAAAATCTCAAGCACTGAAGATACAATAGAGGAAATAGACTCATTGGTCAAAGAAAACATTAAACTAACAAAAGCTTAACAGAAAATATCCAGGAAATATGGACACCATAAAAAGACCAAACCTAAGAATAATAGGGATAGAAGGAGAGAAGTCCAACTCAAAAGCACAGAAAATATATTCAACAAAATAATAGAAGAAAACTTTCTGAATCTAAAGAAAGATATGCTTATGAAGGTACAAGAAGCTTACAAAACACCAAACAGACTGGATCAAAAAAAAAATGTTCCCTTGTTACACAATAATCAAAACACTAAACATACAGATTAAAGAAAAGAATATTAGAGCTGCAAAGGTAAAACACCAAGTAACATATAACGGCAGACCTATCAGAATTACACCTGACTTCTCAATGGAAACAATGAAAGCCAGAAGGTCAAGTGTTATGCAGACATTAAGAGACCACAGATGCTAGCCCAGACTACTATACCCAGCAAAACTTTCAATCATCATAGATGGACAAAACAAGATATTCCATGACAGAACCAGATTAAACCAACACCTAGCAACGAACCCAGCCCTACACAAATACTAGAAGGAAGACTCCAACCCAAAGAAGTTAGCCACATTCACACAAACACAGATAATAGATGATTTCACAACAGCAAATCCCAAAGAAGGGAAAAACACACACAACAGCATCACCACAAACAAAAACTAAAATAGCAGGAATTAGCAATTATTGGTCATTAATATCTCTTAATATAAATGGATTCAACTCACCTATAAAAAGACACAGGTTAACAGATTGGATATGAAAACAGAATCTATCCTTCTGCTGTATACAAGAAACACACCTCAATCTCAAAGGCAGGCATTGCCTCAGAGTAAAGGGTTGGGAAAAATTTTTCCAAACAAATGGACCTTAGAAACAAGCTGGTGTAGCAATCCTAATATCTAACTAAATAGACTTCAAACTGAAATCAATCAGAAGAGACAAAGGGCATTTCATATTAGTCACAGGAAAAATCCATCAAGAGGAAACCTCAATACTGAACATCTATGCCACCCAAACAAGGGCACCCTCTTATGTAAAAGAAACACTTCTAAAGTTTAAATCACACATTAAACCCCACACACTAATAGTGAGACACTTTAACAGCACACTCTAACCACTAGACAGTTCTGCCAGACAGAAACTTAACAGACAAATAAGGGAACTAACAGATATTATGAATCAAATGTACCTAACAGACATCTATAGAACATTCCATGCAAACATAAAAGAATATACCTTCTTCTCAGCACCTCATGGAACCTTCTCATTACCATATGATGTATGGTATGTGAGGGTGTACAGATAGAGGTCAGAGAAGAACTTTCAGAAGTCAGTTCTCTCCTTCCTCTGTAAGTTCTAGGAACTAACTGGGGTGGTTAGCCAGGCAGAACAAGAACCTTTGATCACTGATCTATCTCACTGGCTACAAAGTGATTTCTTATAACAATTATAAATAGCTATCTCACTGGCTACAAAGTAATTTCTTATAATAATTATAAATAAAAAATTCAACAAATAACTAAAAAAAGACTTTGAGACTAGCTACAAAGTGATTTCTTATAACAATTATAAATAGCTATCTCACTGGCTACAAAGTGATTTCTTATAATAATTATAAATAAAAATTCAACAAATAACTAAAAAAAGAGTTTGAGATCAGCTCTGTATTCTGAAATTTGTTGAGAAGAAGATTCACAGGTATATGTATATAGTATTCAACACTGCCTAGAATTCAGGACTAACAGTATTGCTCACTGACCTAGACACAGTGAGATAGCAGGAAGATGACAGTGCTGTTGTGGAAACTTCTTCAGCCAATAGCATTTAAGATACCAGCCCACTTTGGGCATTGTTTTGTGTACTATAAATGCAGACGAAAAGCATGCATGGTCCTCGTTGCTGCTGGATTCAGTTGCAGTTTCCAGTGCATGCAGAGGACTGCGTATCACTGCCCTTATTGTGAGTTTATCCCCAAATAAATAAACTTTTGCTATACTCCATTCTGGGCTATTGTGGAACTCTTCGGTGCAACAACAAATTGGTGCCCACATGGCCTGACTCCATGCCATTGCCGGGCCCTGGCTAGATCCCTGCCTGTAGTTTTTCCTACCCCATGCAGCTGAATTACTCCTCTGAAGCTGGACTACCCCTCTGTTGCAAGTGCACAAGGTTTGGCTTGGCTGGTCTGCTGGAACATGGCAAATTCCTGCCGGCCAGTGCCCGTGTGGCTTGGTTTTACCTATGCAGCTGAGTTACCGCTGCCACGGTTTCTGCTATAACTCCTTCGTTGTTTTCTCTGGCCTATGTGTTTAGGATCTGCTCCTGAGTTTCAACTGCTGCCATGCCTGCTCTGAGCAGGCCGAGCTCAGACCCTTGGAGCTCTAACCCTGCACTTGGAATACAGGTTTACATTCCCAGTTCAGATCCACAAATGCCTAGCCTGAGCTCTGGCCAGTTGCCTCACAGTTCGTGACTGCCTGCAAGATCTGGGATCCTTTACCTTCTGCCCAACTCAAACTTTCTCCATAGGTGAATGTGCTGCTCTTAAGTAATTAACTAAATGTGTTAGTAATTCTAAGTCTCAGGTAATTCAGGTACTGATCTAGAACCTCCCTTACTGCTGCAGCTGTGACATCTGCTGGCCAATCTTGATTATAAAACTTACAACAATTTTCTGAAAATTATAAGAGTTAAGTTAATTTGGTTTAATAAATAAATAAATAAATTTGAAAATTGTAAGCCAACCCCAAGAAAACGGCAGACAATATCACCATCCAGGAATTTAACAACCTTTTTGTTTTTTGCTATGGATGGACTTCTGCAAGAGCTATATGGACCTACTTGGTACATATATTTTTGTGGCCATGGAGGCTATTAGTTTTCTTCTTCATATTATATCCTTAAAGAAATGGTTTGATAACAGACTCAAGAATTAGAAACTTTTAGAAATGATACAGTCTTTATAGACTAGTAAAGTAATGAGAAGTTAGGTGAAAGGGTGCATACTATTGAAAATGACAACCTTAATCTGACAGGCAAAATTCAATCCACGGTCAATGGGTTATGAAACCTTGCAAAATGGTATGAAGAGATTATCTGAAAGGATTCACAGTGTTGAAATTGACAAGAAAAATTTATTAAAAAGTTATAGGATTACAGATAGAATATTCCTCCAGGAAGACAATCTACACGCCATCGTATAATCTCTAAAAATGAAAAAATTTTAAACCTTGGAATCATAAGTGCAGAATGAGAACCAGAAATTAATTGATTTGATGCAAACATTAGAAATATTCACAGGTCAAGAGATTCAGGATTTACAAAAGACAGTGATAAAAAAAAAATTGAACCTGTAGTAAAAAGGAGTGGCGGGCAGTTTTCCTCTGCCCGG